CCGGTCATGACCTGATACCGGGTGACAATATCCTTGATCGTGCCCGCCAAGATGTGACCATAGTGTGGGAGACCAGTGGCAAACGGAGGCCCATCATAAAAAATGTACTCAGGAAGGTCCCGGGTGCGTTCAAGCTGAGTCTCAAACGCCTTGATATCAGACCAATACTCAAGCACACCCTCCTCGTGCTTAGGGAACGAAAAGTCCTTACCCTCACAGACCTCATCCATGGCGACACCACGCCTAATTTCAAGAAAAGGGTTTGTTCAGAAATCGACCAAATGTGCAGGGCAGGTGCCAATCAGAGTGCAAAGACGGATTCAGGGGAATAACAAGAATTCCCCGGAATTCAACCTGCATAGTTTCGGTGAAAAATGAGAAAGATGATGAAAAACATTCAAAGTTTGCAGTAAGAAAAAAAAAAAGAACAAACCAAAGTAATTGATACTGAGCTTTGAATCCTGGGTTACAGTGTTGGAGAAGAATTGGAGATAGAGCAGAAAGAGAAGAAAAGAGGGAGTTGAGAGAAATACTCGATTGGCGGAAGCGGAAAGAGTGGGTTTGCACCAAGTTACCCTAGAACTTCACTGTCAACGGCTGATTTCATGGAAACGAATGCGAATGGCACCATTATAAGCAGCGTTTCTACTTTGGTAGGGCGTTGGTTTGGTATGCTATGGTCTGCTCAGCTCAGTTCTAAGCTCAATTAAAACACCCGGTTTAGTTTCATTCCGTCGACTAAATAAACCTTTTTTTGTTTTAGTTGATTTTGTTTCTTTTTAATTTTTAATTTTGATCATTACAATTTTTTTTGGGTAAATTATAAAAAGTTATAACTTAATTTCTGTAATTTAAAAATTAAAATTTTACGAAAGATCTACCATAAAAGATAAACGGTATTTTTCTCAAAGTGCATGAGTGTCCACACACGAGGGATGTGAGTGACTGTGTTGGTGTCATGCGAGAGAGCGAGTGTGGTTGGTTTAACCATTTTTCATCCAATATCAATGTCGTTCATAATTTATTGCATGACATATTTGAGGAATATGGAAGAAATTGGATCAAGTTGGGAGCTACGACACATATAAGTAGCTATTCGTGTTAGTCTACTTATAAGACCAACATGCTTGTTCGAATTTGATCACAGGTGATTAAATTGAAGTCATATAAGCATATCTAACACATAGAGAGGTGCTTTTAAAGCTAGCAAGCGATAAGATGTAGTTTATTGTGCAAGATTTGCTTATATGATTTGTGTTCTAATGTTATAAGTTAATTTATTGAATAGCGTGATAATGGGTAAATTATGTAACAGTAGGAGTAAGGGTATGTTTGCCTTATATTTTGTCTATTGTATGTCACGTGTTTATTCGGTTAAGATAACTAGTGGAGGACTATTAAAACCGATAGATACGAGAGTTACTTCCTCTTCTAACACCTTCGCATTGTGAGACAATTAGGGTTACGTGACTACCATATTAGTTTGTTCGTGGCAAAGAACAAACATCATCTGGAGTTGGAAATTGAGATGGCATAGACTAAGATTAGAACGCATCCATATAAATTACCCCAAATTATAACAACACTTCAGAAACTAAAGAGGTTTGTATTCACTGAACAGTAATGAGAGTTTTTCGAGACTAAAGAGGTATACAGACAATAAAAGCCTCAATTATGGTAGTCCACGGTAGTTTGAGAAGTTGGAAAAACAATCAAAATCAAGACAATGGTAGCCGACAACGATATGATTAGAAGAAAAACGATGATGACAACAGAACCATCGAGAGGTAGCATCGACATTGAACTACTAAAGATAGTGTAAATAAGAATAAGAAAATGGAGCACGTAACAGAGTGAGTGAAAATATGAATTTTTCTTATTTTATATTGCATTAACTCCCGAATTTGAAAGTTCATTTTTACTTGAGGTTTACTTTAAACTTCTGGATTTTCCTTTCGGGATCGTTAACGTAACATTAATTTTAGAAATTTAAAAAACGCTACTAGAACCGAATATGTTTATCCGTTAAAATTATTTTAATAATTTAACTTAGTGATTAGAAAGCTATTGGGCTGAATCCACAACTCAACCCATCAACACATAGTCCACAAACTCCAAACCCATCCGACAAGACACAAAGACAGGATAACACAACAAGAATAACAGCATCCTGTGATTCCTGGAAGAACATCTATCAATGGCGGTTTCACTTTCAGCCGCCACATCCTTCCATCTCCTGCCCTCTTCTTCATTTTACAGTTCCTCATTGAGCCCCAAACAACACCTCCTCCGATCACCCTCCCGCCGCACCGTAACAGCTCAAGCTCAATCTCAATCTCAGCCTCGCCAAACATGGCTTCCCGGCCTCGACCCTCCACCGCATCTCGACGGAACCCTCGCCGGAGATTTTGGGTTCGACCCACTTGGGCTCGGCGAAGACCCACATAGCTTGAAGTGGTTCGTCCAAGCAGAGCTCGTTCATTCTCGCTTCGCCATGCTTGGCGTCTCTGGAATTCTCCTCACAGATGTCTGTAACTAAAAATTCAATCCCATTATCGAATTCAATCTTGAATTTCAATAATTTTACAAAGATTTTGTGTTCTTCATTGTGTGTGTGTGTGTGTGTGTGTGTGGCAGCTGCTTCGTGTAACAGGAATCAGTGAATTGCCAGTTTGGTACAATGCGGGTGCTGTGGAATATGGCTTTGCCAACAAGGAAACTCTCTTCATTGTTCAGCTGCTGTTGATGGGGTTCGAACTCTTACTTATCTGTAACATCATGTGTGTGGCTGTGTATTCATTTCTTCTGTTTTTGTAGGTTTGTGGAAACTAAAAGATATATGGATTTCAAAAGCCCTGGATCTCAAGCACAAGAAGGGACTTTCTTTGGATTAGAATCCGCTTTCGAAGGACTCGAGCCCGGGTAACGAACCTTTCATCTAATCTTAAATGTGTATTTGGTCGTTTCTCTAAGAAACTCATAGAAATAAACTAGATCTAAATTATGGTAATAACCAGGTGTAATTAAATTAAGAGAAGAAAAACACGAGCCAAGACAACAATAATTGTCTGTTTTGGCCCGTTACGTATCACTGTCAGCCTCACAGTTTTAAAACGCATCTGTTAGGTACAGGTTTCCACACCCTTATAAGAAATGTTTCGTTCCCATCTCCAACAGAGGTGGGATCTCACAGTCCACCCCCTTGAGGGTCCAACGTCTTCTCTGGTTCACCGCTCAGTATCTGACTTTGATACCATTTGTAATAGCTCAAACCTACCGCTAACAGATATTGTCCGCTTTGGCTCGTTATGTATCGCCGTCAGTCTCACAGTTTTTTTAAAAGGGGTGCAACACAAGGACTTCTCAAGTGTTCACCCAACTTAATACTACTTTCGTCTAGGCACGTTCAACTATAGAGTCCTAATAGGATCCGGTGCATTAATTCTGATATGATTGCACCCACATCGGTTGGAGAGGGGAGTGTGAAAATCTCTCCCTAACAAACGCGTTTTAAAAACTTTGAGGGGAAACTTGGAACCGAAAGTCTAAATAGGACAATATCGGTTAGCAATGGGTATCCAGACTACAATAGAGCACACAAACACTTTATCTTTTGGAACTTATCTGATGGATTGAACTTCCTTGCAGATACCCAGGGGGTCCTCTGCTAAATCCTCTGGGTCTGGCTAAAGATATCAAGAATGCACATGACTGGAAGCTCAAGGAGATTAAGAATGGTTAAGTTTTGCACTCATTTTTGGTCTATTGCTTCGTCTTCGTTTTCCCAGACTGCTAATCTTGGTTGCTTCAAATTCCAGGACGGCTTGCAATGGTAGCCATGCTGGGGATCTTTGTGCAAGCTTATGTAACTCAAACAGGGCCAATAGATAACCTTGTGGAGCACCTTTCTAATCCATGGCACAACACTGTTATCCACACCCTCTCCAGCTAGCTCAAGTCCTTGAAGAACCAAAATATAAGCTATCTGGCTTTGGAGAGAATTTGTAAGCTAAATAGGGTACATATGAATGAACAAATGAATACTTCGTTTCACACCGTTGCCAAATTCAAACAAGATAGCAAATGAAAGAATTGAGGAAGGTTTCGTTGCTTGAATAGATAAATCCACGGATTCTCTTTCGATACATATATATGTTGTAACGAGTGGAAACAAGATTAACTGCACTTACACATCTATGAACATAAATGAACAAAGAGACACAATGGTTTACGTGGTTCGGAGAGAAGAAATTCTCCTACATCCATAGATGGTAGACAATTTGTGAGATCACACGTCAATTGGAGAGGAGAACGAAACCTTATTTATAAGGGTGTGGAAACCTCTCCATAACAAATGCGTTTTAGAAATTTTGAGGGGAAGGCCGAAAGAGAAACCAAAAGTGGATAATATCTACTAGCGGTGAACTTGGGTTGTTCCAAATGGTATCAGAGCCATACATCGGGCGATGTGCCCGCGAGGAGGTTGAGCCCTGAAGGGGGGTGGACACGAGGTGATGCGTCAGCAAAGACATTGGGTCTCAAAGGGGGGTGGATTGTGAGATTCCACATCGATTGGGGTGAAGAACGAATAATTTTTTGTAAGAATGTGAAAACCTCTAGAGACGCGTTTTAAAAACTTTGAGGGAAAATTCGAAAGAAAAACTCAAAAAAGATAATATTTGCTGGCGGTGGTTGTTGACTGTTACACAATTACTATAAACAAAGTGTTTACAACTGTATCTCTCACACTCTCAAACACTCTCAAACTATAAAGTCTCACTTACAAAGTTCCTCTCAATTGTCTCTAAACAAATACAAAATGACAATAATTCCACGTTTCAAAACAATGTTAGACAAGCCTTTATACAGACGTAACAATATTAATTCTCATACCTGAATCAAAGCAATACTAATGCTCATACACGAATTAAGATGGTTCATGTACCAATATGGGAAATGAACTAAATGAATCCAATAGATTTATGAATCGAAATGATAAATGTACCAAAGGCATCCATGAATCCAGGATTCATGGACTAAATCTTCGTGACAATTCACAACAAATATATTCATCAAGAACATAGTTCGAAGAACTCATATCATACGAAGGGACGGATGGAGTTTGGTATCAGAATTTTGGGTTTGTTTGGTAATATTATAAGGTTTTGTGTAGAAGAACAAAGATAAAATCATAATTGAAGAGCAGTGGATGAATATTTGGTTATGGCTGCAAGAATCCTCTCTTTATCTCTAGTGGGAAATGCTTCTAATAACACACCATCTTTATAAAAGTGGAACAGTGGCACTGTCTGCACCCATCAAATTTCAACATTAGTCAACAAAATAAACCACTAACTCCTCGTTACCTACAGGATGATCAGATCATATACCCTTTTCATCGATGAGGATGGGTAATCATTCTTGATATTTGTTGAAGATTAGAAAAAGGGATTAAGAAATGGTTTAAGTCTCTAAATTTTCAGAAGCAACGAGTTCATTCAGATAATTTAATTAAGGAGGAGTAAAGAAACTTACCTTGATCCTCAGTCGTTCAGCAACCTCAGATTGTTCATCATATTCATCAACGACCTAAGATCACAAGCATTCAGTTCCAGAATCAAATTCATTTCTCCAACAAAACAACTTCTCTGATATGGATTACTCACATTGTGCTTCAAGAAGATAACCGGAGCCTCTTGATCTCCAGATCCCCTGCACAATTTCGCAAACCCTTGTTCTATGTACTTGCAACTCCCACAAGATGTTCGATAAAAGTCCACAACCACCAGCGCTCCACTTTCCTTCGCCCTCTCTAGAATTCTGATGAACTCTTCATCCGTCTTGAACTCCCTCACACATTCTACAGGGCAAAGATCATCGTCTTCGTCGGACAACCCCCCCTGATTTCCAGCAGCAACTCTGGGTTTACTCTTGAACATCAATTCATGTCTGATACTCAGATATGGTGGAGCTTCGGGCCTTGTAATCGACAATCGAACATGCGGGTTTTCAGACAACCAGAAGGGAATTGAAATGGGTATTATTCTCGATTCGAGCTTTCCAACACTGAGTAATGCTTTACATTTCAGTACATTCTGGTTCTGTCTTTGCATTGCAACATATAGGATTTGGGTCTTGTTTAGTGAATGAACTTCGATCGGGAAGCTAATGAAAACAGATTCAGATGTAGCATTCAATTCAGTATTTGAATCTTGTTGTGTTATTTAACGGTAATCAAAGAGGCAATTTCGATGAACGATTCAGAAAGATGAAAAATGACTGTTAGGAGGTACAAAATTGATGGTGGAAAGCAACAAATGTTGGACCAGTGGCTTACCTCTGAGCGGGAAGAAGAGCAGAGGAGCAGCTGCGAACGAGAAAATGACACGACTCCACCATTATCTTCTTCCTTGGTTGCCATTGATTTACCTTTCACGTGGGAGGTTTTGTGGACATGGATTGATTCATGGGTTCTTCTACAAATCAGAAGTTGGAGCAGCCCAAGCCCAATATTGAATGGGTAGCAAAAGTTTATCAATTTTATCAAGTTTAGCTTCAACTTCATTATCGACCCACATGTTCTAACATCAGCACAGACAAGTTTAATCACTCCTAGCTAGCTTATGGATAAGGCTGTTATTATCTCACAATTGTACTAGCTAACCTTGTTTCCATGACATAGACAAGGTGAGATCCCACAGGTCGGAGAGGAGAACGAAACATTTCTTATAAGGGTATGAAAATCTCTCCTTAATAGACACGTTTTAAAACCATGATGTTGACGGCAATACGTAACGAGTCAAATGGGCAATAATTTGCTAGTGGTGGGATTGAGCTATTACAAATGGTTTCAGAGCCAAACACTGGGAGGTGTGTCAATGAGGACGTTGGCTCCCAAGAGAGGTGGATTGTGAGATCCCACATCAGTTGGAGTGAAAAATGAAACATTCCTTGTAAGAGTGTGGAAACCTCCCATTAACAAACACGTTTCAAAATTGTGAGGCGGTGATATGTAACAAGCCAAACAGACAATATCTAGTAGCAGTGGGCTTGAGCTGTTACAAATGGTGGGTATCAAAGCCAGACACCAGACGGTATGTCAGCGAGGACGCTGGCCCGATGCAGATTGTGAGATCCCATATCGATTATAGAGGAGAACGTAACATTCCTTATAAGAGCGTGGAAACATTTTCCTAACAAACATGTTTCAAAACCAAGAGACTGACAACGATACGTAACGAGCCAAAACGGATAATATATGCTAGCGGTAAGGTTGGATTGTTATAAACAACCAATCATCTCGAGAAGATGAATCCATATGAATGAAAAAGTTCAGAGGGTGGAAGATCATGGAGACACTAAATAGATGAAGGTCGTACTAATGTATTAAAAAGAGAAGAATCTTGTCATTAGACAAAACATGTTATGTAGCCTTCTTTCCACTTGACTTATGTTTGCCTAACAATCTTAGAATTCTTGGGAAGAATGACCTCTTCTTTTTCTTTCCTTCCTTGGGTTTTTCCAATGATTCAGCTCTAACCAAGCTTTTTGGCGTCTGTTCCTTTGAAATTGGCTGTTGAGGAGCAGGAGAATCTGCTTGTTTATCAGTTCTTGATTCTTTTGCCTCAACGCTTCTCGTTTGGTTTGTTGTAGGAATTGCTACTTGTTGGTTAGCTTTATTGTCCTTCCTTTTTTGCTCTTGTTTTGCTCTCCATAATCTCAAATCTTGTTCTACTGCTAACTTTCCCTCCTTGGCCTCACTAGCCTTTTCTGTTGCAGCTTTCAACCCTTCCTGTCTGGCAACGAGTTCACGACTAACTTCTTCCAGCATTTCTTGACATTTTGCCTCGGATTCCTTAGCGGCCTCGATTTGTGAAATTGCTTCTGTCATCTTGAAGCTGGCGTGCTCCTCGGCCTTGCGGGCTCGTTCACTAAGTTCATTGTATTCCTCTAGTGAAATAGTTACTGTGGTTGATGAATCTTCTTTCGCGGTTTCGGAAGAATCACTCTCTTGCAGTGCTTTGATTGCTGATAATGCCAACATTTTTGAAGCATTGGAAGCTTCAATCTCCTTCTGAGCTGCAACTATTCTTCTTTTCATCGCTATTGATTCTGCCTTTGTTTGCTCTACTTCCATCTTTGCCTTTTGCAGGTCGTCACGAGCCGTCTTAGCAACCGTCTTCGCCTGATCAGCCTCCACTGCTGCCTGCTTCAATTGATTGGTCAGGTCTACACTATTTCCTCGAGCTTCTCTTTCGTTTCCTTGAACGACGATGATCTCGGACATGTTCTTGTCTAATTCAGCTTCAAGTGATGCAGCTTCATCAGAATGTCTGCCTTCTCTCTTCTTTGTGGTTTCCATGGAAGATCTCTCCTCTTCAAGCTCTGATTTTAGCGAAGTAGCAGCCATCTTCAAGTATTCCACTTCTGCAATTGCTTTCTCTATGTTGAGCTTTACTTCTTCCAATTCCTTCTTTGTTGAATGAACCGCTGATTCTTTGTTTTCAGTTTCAGCAACTTCACCTTTCAGGAGTTGTTCATCACTTATCTCCTCTTCCTTTATTACCGATTCCATATAATTGACCATTTCGACTTTCAAATTCGATAATAAAGTCGAGGCAGTATTAACTTTCAGTTTAAGGTCTTCAATTGATTGAACTTTCGACTTGAGTCTACTAAACTCCTCTTCCGCATCATCTAGCTCTTTCTTCCATTTTGAACAATCCAGCTCTTTGGCCACCTCTGCAACCATCCTTTGCTCTTCTGCTTCTAAATGGGCAGCTTGTGCAGACTTCATTGATTCCTTTAAAGCTACCAGCTCTGTGACCAGCTCCTGTAGTGCCTTCTCACCATCCTTAGCTGCAGCAAGAGCATCATCAGCGTTTCTTACAGCCAAATCTCTCTCGGACACTAACGAAGAAAATTCATCACGAAGTACTTCCAATTCTTCTTTAATGGATTTCAGTTCCGAAACTGCAGCAGCATGCCCGGCCATCGCCATCTCAAGCTGTGCCTTGGCTAGAGCATCATCATTCTCATCAGCGGTTCCTTTCTCCATCTCCTCCAGTCTAAGCTTGGCAAGTTCTGAATCTTGTTTTGCCCGTTGCTCTTCTGTTTGTGCAATCCCAACTTCAAGTGTTAATTCTTCTATGCGCCGTTTAGTATTTTCGAGCTCCTTCAACACTCCGAATTCTGCCTCCATGGCTTTCTCTGACCTTTTCCTAAGCTGAAGAATCTCCTCTTGTACGTCCTCAAGTTTGTCCTCCATTGTCTTACTTCTCTGTAGAATTAGAAACATACTGTGAGATCCCACATCAGTTGGAGAGGGGAACATACCACAAGGGTGTGAGGACAATATCTGCTAGGGGGGCTTGAACGGTTATAAATGGTATCAGAGTTAGACACCAGGCAATGTGCCAGCGAGGAGGCTAAGTCCTAAAGAAGATGGATACAAGACAGTGTGCCAACAAAGACGTTGGGCCCTAAAGGAGGTGGATTGGGGGTCCCACATTGATTGGAGAAGGGAAGAGTGCTAGCAAAGACACTGGGCTCCAAAGGGAGATAGATTGTCCAAAGGGAGATAGATTGTGAGATCTCGCATCGGTTGGGGAGGAGAATGAAACATCTTTATAAGGGTGTGCAAACCTCTCCCTCTATAGGAAACATGTTTTAAAAACCTTGAGGGGAAGCCAGAAAGGAAAAGTCCAAAAAAGACAATATCGGCTGGCTGGCTGGCCGTGGTGGGCTTTAGCTGTTATATCACTCTAAAAATGGTGTCTATATCACTCTAGCATAAAAAAGAAACAAAGCTAGCCAAAAACATCAGTACCTCCACCATAGAATAGACTCGACGAGCTTTCCAATCAACAATCCCTCCAAATTTAGACACAGCTGCCTTCACAGATACAATAGGTGCCTTAGTTTCAATAAAGCCTCTATTTAAACCACCTTGATTGGAAGTTCTGGGAGAATGAACCTCCATTGCAACGTTATTATCCTTTCCCTGCACCAAAACACATTGATCAACAAGAACACTCTCAACATCATTGCTTCAAAATCAAATCAAATACTAGAAGAGAAATCAGAAGATACACTGATTTTGTGGCGATTGCCAACAATAACTGGTGGATCCTTGGCAGCAAAGAATTCAGGATTTTCAGAATGTTTTTCTCCCTTAGCAACAGGATCTGTTAGACTTCCACTTTCAAAATCTATGTCTCCATTACAAGCAATTACAGTGGGAGCTTCACTTTCAGATCCTGTCATTCTTGAATCCTGTGCCTCCGTTGGAGTTACATGTTGAGTTGAATCGCCATCGTCGAACCGTCAAGCTACATTCCCCCCGATTCAGTAGAAATGGAAAACCAGAAACACACCAGTTCCAAACAAAACCAGAAATTAACAAATCAGAACCCTACGATAAATTATGAACAGGTTCTTCAAAATCCACAAAGATTGAAATTCCGAGATAAGCGCATCTTCGGTGAAAACTGGAAATCATTTTCAACAGCGAGATTCAAACTTCTCTAAGGCGAAAATACTCGGTTACGTGTTGTTCCCGATTAGGTTCGATCAAAACAACGAAACCAAATCGATCGTTCATTTATAGAAAAAAGAAACAAAAACACATCACGAATTCAGAAACGTACTCAAATTAACGAACAAATGATTCTAATCTACAGCGAACATAATGCAACGAGAATAAATCGAACGCAAAATGGAATTGGAAGAGAAGCGTACCGGAGAGGAGAAACGGAATTGAAATGAGCCTAGGTGAATGGGAAGGGGAAATTGAGGATAAAAAAATGCAAAACTAACGAAAATGAGGTGAAAAATTGAAGCTAAGAATAGAAAGAACACAAATGGGAGGCGGTGGAGATTCCACCTCTTCCTCATTGCATGGACAGCATCCATTAGAGCCTCTCAGCCCCTCTCTGGATTTGTTTTTATAGGCTAAGGTTTCATATACAAATGATTCAATCCATGGGTAATGTATTACTAAATTTAGTTTAATCTCATCATCGTCTCAATCCTTCTTCAGCAACTCCCCTGATCATCACCTCCGCCGCACACTTCCAGTCAACCTCGTCGTTGGGGCCAATCCAGAGACAATTATCCTCCTCCTCAAAAAATTTGAACATCATAGATTATTTTAATAATAATTTAAAATTCAGTGTCAAAAACAGGTACTGTTTATATGACTCACTCAACTACACATTACACATGATGAGCTTATATATGATCCGACTATGAAATATTTAATCTCTTTTTATAAATATGTTAATTAAAAAGATTAATATTTCATAGTATTGATCATATGTGACTCAATCTTAAATTCTGTGAGAGTTTGTCATTAGTATTTCAAAGATTTTCCTACCATTTATGTAAATAAACATTTTGTTCGAACAAATTGCATCTCACATGTTCTGTAACTAAAAAGTTGTCTCCAACATTGTGGGAATTTTCTCGGTTAAGACTTTATGGATAAGATTCGACTATGGGAGGATACCAAGTAGATAGATTAAAGACCCAC